GAAATGAAGTGGCCTTGGCAATACATCAGTGTTCTTCTTTTCGAGCGGTTTATTCCTTGGAGATGAGACTTGCCGTACTTCAAAACCCACGCTGTATTGCTTGGGACCCTTTAGATCAATGAGTATTCGGTTCTCGTCACTGCTTTCCTCGAGACTGATTTGATACAGTGGGTTGTTCCTAAACCCATGCAATTACATACTAAACTAAGAGAGGGAACGATAAAGCACTCACATCCACGTATCTCTACTAAGCCCATTGCCACAACCGCCAGCAGTACGACCTTCCCATTTGCCCGTCTCCTGAAGACAGCATTGAGCTAAGCGATCGAATGGGTACAGAATTCCCACTTACAGTTTTCTTCACACTGTAGTTGCTCTTGATAGGACTGAGGTTGAATTGACACGAAGAGAAGACCCGCAGAGTGTAATATATAGTTTTCATCTTTTCGTACTTAAATGAGAAGACATGTAAAAAACTAGAGAAGATAGATAATCTAATAGCATTTGTACATCATTACGAACCTGTGCTACTACCAACGTGTACTTCTGAACTCCTGGTTCATTTATCACCATTTGACAAAGATAATGGGGACTATTGATACGCATTCCTTCATAAAGAGGCTTAGGATCGACTGAAAAATAGTCAATGGTTACATCTTACTAAACTGGTTATTGAAGAACATACTTGGGATGTATATTTTCTTCCCGGACTTATACACCATCACTGTGATATACTCCTTGTTGTCCGCAAAGTCGGACTGAAAAGTCCCAGCGCTTATTTGGTACCAAATGACACATTTTCATTGCATACACTTAATCACTCACGATTTCCGTGATATGCCTAGTGAGCAAAATCCAAACGGCACTTGTTGTTTGATTGTGAACTTCTAGCAAATACTGAGGGTTGTCAGCTACAGAGTAAAGATCCTTCACAGGGCCATTGCAAGAGTTCCATGCTCTATAAAAGGCCTCAACTAGCCTTCCTGTACTGATACTACTGAGCCAAATAAAAAGGCTTTTTAACCACTCACGCATGAATGCCGAAAGTGAATGGAAATAAAGCTGGGTTCCAATTCACGTAGAAAACATCAAAGAAATGGCATACTGACTCAAAATCGATCCAGAACACTCCTAAACATCGAACTTCAGCTAGTGAAACTAATCGTGGGTTACGGAGACAGAGCCGCTCACCATCATCCTTCGATTTGGCTTGATTCGGATCATAATCAAGTGCTTTACGGAGCGATGGAGTCCAGCTGACGGTGTCATTTTCCGAAAACCTTCCCTTCCATCGAAGATGGGTCCAAGGGTTTTTCACCATCAAGAGCCGTTTGCCCTTCAAATGAGTAACAGTAAGCTTACGATTATACTTAGTTGTGCCACGAATATTCCCCCTCCCTGAAGAAAGCAAAAAAGAATGCTCATCACATGAGCAGATATGGAGTAGCTGTGACACGTTTCGGGCAAGAGAAGACTTGTCGCAATTAGATTCCAGTGGTTTCATGCACAAAATAAATATCAATGTACTATTAGATTGGCGGGAAAGTTCTGTCACATTTGTCAAAACTCAAAATACTGCTCATAATATGAAGAGCTGTCATCAATAATGTGAGCAGTATACCCAAAGCAATACTCTTCTCGTCAGTACCACTCATATGTCTCCTACTTCTTCTTCCTTCACAATATGGACAAGATTTGCGTCCCGTATCCCAGGCACCGACCCTCGAACCCTTTCCTCAAACTCTTTTCTTCAGCCGCCATGACATGAGCAGAGCTGCCGAGGTAAAATAAAGGAGCAGCATAATGGACTAATGTATCCAATCATTAGGACAAATCTGCACGACGCCATGCTCCACTGCGGGATCCTACAGTTTTGAAGACGAAGTGAGTCTGGATGGCCACGTGAACTCAGCTGGAGGGAGCTGCGGTCCGCGAAACTACTGGATAATGAAGCTGCTTCTTGTCATTATTCCAGCATGCTACGAGATCTGAGGCGAACTCCTCCTCAGCATGGAATGGACGGTTGCTTTGACCAGCTAGTCGCAGCCCAAACACCTCACGGAAAAGGTCGAGCCCAAGCTAATGCCGATAGAGTGATGGCACTTCCTTTGGCAACGGGTCGTACTGACAATGCTCCCTATCAACTGCTTGTTGTTTCTCGACGGTACCTTTAAAAGGACCGAGAAACTTTTCGCGATCCGAGCCAAGATAAAACCATGATTTCAACTTCGAGTAGCGCCGGCTGCATTGTGAAGTAATAGGCGACCATAAAGAGCTCAAAAACTAGCAAGAATCCTGCAATAACAATGCTATACATTTCTTATACTATACGTCTCTCTATAGAAAGAAACGCTCATGAAAAAGAAGACACATCTTCCCCTCTAACCCAGTGTTAAGAAGACCTAAAAGAGTTATATGATAGAAATTCGGCGTTTTCTACATTGAATCGTCTATTATGCACCACACTTTAAGAGGCAACGAGAACCAGGTACAGAGGGAACAGCTTAAAAACTGAAGCGGAGAAGATGGCTTAAGCTAATCTCACTTCTAAAGAATAAGTCTTCGAACATACATCGATTTTTCGAAGATCCAGAACAGCGTATGCATGGCAGTCGACAAGACCAGCACGATCGCAGATATCTGGGCTCAGTTTTCCAGTTGCCAGCGTTATTAGGCAATCTCCACGATGGAAACGAGAAAGAAGCTTTTCGAAAACCTAAAAAGTTAGGAATTCAGTATAATTCAGTATAAATCTGCAAATCGAGAGGATAACGATATCTGCCCCAACGTCAAATCTAACCTTATCTCCATCGAAAGATGAGTCACCCTTTTTTATTGATATCCGATCAGGAATCCATCCAGTCAAAGCATGAAGATCGATATTCTGCAACAAATGCCTTGCTAATTCTCCTCAATGAGTCCAGGATAAACTCATGCAACTCATAAACACACAACCAAAAAATACCGAATTCGACCCAGGAAAATCGTAACCGCCCATAACTTTGAGGTACGCTTTTTCCAACAACGAAACCCACAATTCTCCTTTTGTTTGACTGTGCGAGCACAACAAGTTCATGTACTCGTCAGTTGGGAGATAGTCGTCGATAATGACCTGAAAATCGCCAACTAAAGTAAACAGAGAGAAAAGCACTAGGCAAAGATAAGAAAGTGACAAAAGAATAAACCTTTCTCCAAACTCCATTTATGTGCAATTTCACCATATACTTCCCAGACGGATTGTATACCGGTTGGCCTGCTTTGTTTTGAGGGTAAATAATACTAAAAAAAGATTGTAACTGCACGTCTTGAGAGTAATTAAACATATCAAAGCATATTTTGACCTTGAGAACATCGCTTCAGAAAACGCAAAGAAAAATAGGGAGGCAGGGAGAAACATAAAGAAAACAAATAGAAAGTTTCGTTACCTCGTGATGACTTGTTTACCAAATCTCTTTTCGTATCGGGCAGTGATGGAAAGTGAGGCGACGAATGAGCAATCAGATATCACAGTCTGAAAAGTGCAAAAATTGCCAGTAATTCCGCAAAATGTGCGGCGCTCTTCGGCTTAAGTGGGGGGAGGCGTCTTGCACTTTCGTAGGTTCCTGTTGCTAACGAAAGTGCAAAATGAAAGTACAATTGAAAGTGCAAAATTGCTCATGCCAACTAGACAGTAGCCTGTAAACTCTGAAGCTGTGAAATGAGTCAATTCAGCAACAGGATTTCACTCCTAACGAGATGGCCTCTCCAGGCTTCGCTCAGTAAAGTACCGCTCCTTTCATGAGCGCGAACTGCAGCCAAATATTGAACGAGGAATGGCAATCGAAATTTCAGACCCTGGTTCGAATTCAAAACTAGATAGTGCATACGGATTTAGTGCAAGTGAATCGCTCCGGATATAACAAACTGGCTCGGCCGAAAGTAAAGAAAGTTCACAGAGATAGCTTTTGGCACTAAGAGATCGTCCTGAAGCTGTCCGCCTATTTTAAAATTATTTAGGCAAGTGCTACAGAAAGATTCGGAGCAGATCTTGAAAAAGTGGGAAACTGTAGAAGAAAGTGTCTGTTTAGCAAGGCTGGTAACCAAGAAACAGTCAGGCACAGTTCGCTCTTTGAAAGTTGTCACAAGAATGCTGAGAAAGAACGCAACCGCCCGGTATGCGGGAGATGAGGGTTCGAGTCCCGTCCGAGGTCTGATTTTTGCCAATAACTTATGCATTGATTATTGATTTAAAACTTAGCATCCTTGTGATAACGGGATGACTCTTCTTTCCTTATGGTTTCTGCAAAAAAAATTGTCCGAACAGGTCCCTAATCATTCTCCTAGGATGCTGACTTTCCATTTGAAATGAAGAATGATTTTTTAGTGAAGCACATGTAAAAGAGGAAACCATAAGAATCTCAATCTGCCAAATTTAGCCCAAGTTATCAGTGATGCAAAAGCACTTTTACAACCAAATATATCAATTGCTTTCCCATCAACCCAATATCAAAATAAGGAACAGTAAAAAAAGGTTTATATTTACCTGCTTTATAGTACCACTGTCAATGGTGCCTATAAGTTTGGGTTCCTCGAAAATTTCATGGGGGCGCAACCAAGCCTTTATTCGCTTCTTCTGCTTTTCTGTCAAGGAAAGTTTACCATCTTTGTCACTGCAAAGGATCCTTTAAACAATGTTTCAATAAGCACAAAAGGAAAAAAAGAAAACTATATACCTACGTGAATGGCATCGAATAGTTAAATTTCTCTCTGAGGTCAACGGTCAAAAAAGGCACATATTTACGACCATTTATATATGATGTTGTTGCAAGCACTGCGAGCTCTTCTTGTGTCAAACCAACAGCTGCAGCCTACAATAGTGTTGTTATTAAAGCATACTGTAATGTAACATAACGAGAATGCTAGAGATATCCAACTGCAAGCGAAAAGTGGGAGTTGCCTGAGAGAGTGGGAACCGCCAGACAATCTCTAGGCTGATTGAACTTTCTTTTCTCCAAAGACCCCTGCGATTGCATATTACGGATGGCGGGGTTCAGTTACAAACTTATAGCCACTAAATGATCCTCCAAGACAGAAAAAGGAAAGCAAAATCATGGAAAACACCCTAAGGACCCCTGGCAGCCCTCTGGACGATCTCTTCAGACCTGCCCGTTTTATTTCTGCATAGCGATATCCTGCTGCCTCTACCTCACTAATCATTTCTTCCAGTCA